GCCTGTGAGTGAGAACATGTGGTGTTTCGTTTTCTGTTCTTGTGTCAATTTGCTAAGAATGATGGTTTCTAGATTCATCCAAGTCCCTACAAAGGACATGAACTCATTGTTTTTCATGGCAGTGTGGTATTCCATGGTGCATATGTGCCACATTTTCTTTGTCCAGTCTATCATTGATGAGCATTTGGGTTGGTTCCAGGTCTTTGCTATTGTACACAGGGCAGCAATGAATACACATGTGCATGTGTCTTTATAGTAGAACGATTTATAGTTCTTTGGGTTTTAAAATGCTTTTTCTGGCACTTTCACTTACTGCTATCTTAAACCTGGGTTCTCTCTCAATGATTTGCTCTTTTTTTCCTTGCCTCCTCATAAGTTTCTGTTATTTCTCTTATTCCCATTTATTTGCTTTTTTTTTTGGCTGAACTACCTTTACAGTTTCTCTGTCTTATAGCTGTTTGTTTAAGTAAATTTTAACCATTTTGCAAGGTACTGATCCAATTATTTTATATAGGTGCAGGATATGTGTGTGTGTGTGTGTGTGTGTGTGTGTGTGTGTGTACACACAATTACTGTGTATATATCAACACTATATTATGTAAATATACGCATAACACACCCATGGAGTCCACATCCACACACATTGCTTTGAGAAAGGCACTTTGTTCTGGGAATGAGGCTTATAAGCAGTGGGTGTGGGAATCAAAGTGAGGCAGTTTAACTTCAAGACATTGCTCTAAACCATGACACCATATTACTCTCAGCTGTCTTTTTCACTTTGGATACTGATATACAACAGACACTTCATGCTAATTCCGGGAAATGATCATTTTGAAATGTGCAGGAAATGTTGCCTGTTCCCTTCTTTATCTGGATCCCTTCTTCACTATGACTTTGCTTTTTCTCACCTAGGATTACTTTTCTGACACATGCATGGGTACATCCCATTAAAGTAAGAGAGTTTTACTTTGTGTAAGGCACTGACAGAATCTCTCTTTCTCCATATACACCTGAACGTGACTGTCCTCTTTCTCCGTTCCAATTGTTTAACCCCAAATACCTTTTACCTTTTCAGATGTCACAAGGATGTGACTGAGTAGTTTCAAGGGCATCCACTTTTGCTTCCTCCTCCTACCTTTGAATCCTGCATCTGCATTGCTGGGTCTCAGGCCAAAGAGGAAACCCTTGTTTCCCATTCCAGGATATTTTGATGACCAACTTTTCTTATGTTGTGAATTTGAAGGACAAGGGCAGATAATGAGAAATGGATAGACAGGGACCTGTGTTCTGAGACCTGGGCCAGAGGACTGATGGAGGTGGAGAAGAATCTCAGTGATTCTGGCAGGCATCATGGATCACTAAGGGCCAGAGGAGTGGAACATATGGGCACAGGGTGAGAGGCCTGTGACAGGACACAGCCTATCTCCTTCACAGCAGAATGTTAATAGGCATTAGATTTTAATAAACAGAGAACATATCTCTGAGTCAGCATCAAAAATTTCTACAGTCCAGAAGAAGGAATAGCCACAGCACCTAACCTCACCTTCCCTTGTGAGTATGGGAGTCACAGGGCAGTGAGAATGGAACAGCGTTTATCTGAGGTTAAAGCCAATGCTTCTCTCTCTTTAGTCCACACTTACAGTAAGGTCCATTGGATGCCGTGGCTACAAGTTTCTGAACTTCTGGCTTTTGAAGGAAAGACTTTCTCACCCTCTGTGCTGAAGGTATTCTATGTATTATGAAATCTGGTTAGTGGCTCTTACCATCAAGAAATCTTGAAAAGTACAAGGCACTCAGAAGGCCTACATTAATAGTTTCCAGCCACTTAGAGACATCAGAGGGGTTCCTGCCAAGGGTGCACTGACCTTTTTCATCTCACTGTCCTAGAGTTAGTGGGTCTGTCTCTGGTCATCTTGAAGGAGATGGATCATCCTTCACTCCCTCTACTTCAGTATCTTGTGCATCTTCCTCAATGGTTTTGCCATGTTGTTTTCATAATGATTGTCCAGTTGATACTAAATCTTGAAAAAAAATTCCAAAAGAATATTTAATTCTTTTTTGGTCTCAATTGTCAATTGCCCTTTTACACGAATCTGGGGCAGATCTAAAGGGCTTCTTAGAGCTCATGTTTTATAGGACCACAGTCTCTGGATGTAGATCCTCAATGTCCACTTCTTAAAGATACATTCCATCCCACATTCTCTTCCTATGATGTAACTTCAAGACTGCTACTGTTGAATGTTCTAGTCCCTTTACTTTGTGTAGTGTTGTGACTATAGCTGATGTTTTACTCTAGCATAATAACACTTCTCCTGACTCTGTGGGAATCTTCACTGTGGAAAGGTAACTACCATGCTGTGAGCAAGCCCAAGTGGCTACGTGAAGAGGCCCTTTGAATATATTCGAGGTAACAGCCCCAACTGAGGAACCCCAGACATCAGTCAGGATCATCTGCTAGACTGGGAGTGGAACATCTGTTGCCATTATTTAATTGGTGATCATGAAAATGACCATGTGGTAGGTAGACAGACTCAGTTGACTCACTAGAATCTGGGTTTTTATCAGAACTGGGTTTTGCTTGTTTTGTCTTGTTTTCTTTTTTCCTGACACTAATGTGTTCCCACTGTAACATGAGGTGATGATGATGTCTCAGGTCTAGGTTATCAGTGAGAATTCACAATCTGTGTGAATTTTAAGTATAAACACATTTTAAAGCAGACAGTCTGCTCCTCTGTCTATTTTCCCCTGGGTGATGCTGTTTGCTTTTTTAAACAGCTACAGAAGTCAATGTGGGTTAAACCTTTTGGGTTCTAGCTCAGGCATTGCTGGCAAGTTCTCAGAGAAGCAAGGCTCCTCAGGCTGCACCATTTGGCCCATGTCTGCAGATGGCTGTTCTATCTAGGTTTTTGTAAGTTCACTCTGATGTTCACACAGTGATAAAAATCACTTAATAATGCATTTCTCAGAATGTGTTTTTGTCACCATAGGACACATGCCTGTTAAATCCTCATTTTTGCCCAAAGATTCAGTGACAATTTAGGTGTAAAATAAATGTTCCCCCTAAAGTGATGAGGTGCAGACTTTATTGTATCAATAGGAGGGAGCTCCCACACTTGCAAATGCATTGTACAAAATCCTGTCTGTCCATGATGTGCAAATTATGTTCCTGCCTGAGATCATTCAGCTGGAATCACACACCCACATATTTCCAGAATTCCATCCAATAAATTCACAAAGCAGTTGAAAATCACAATATACACTTTAGGTAATGGGCCATTAGAGATTATTTTAATTGTAGAAAAGCATACAAAACTATTTTGCATTTTACATATTTTTTATTTAACTGTAATAAAGTGACACTAAAACAGAAAAAAAGCCCGAACAGTATGATTCCTTTGCTTGAACAGTGAAGGACTCCCTTGTACATGCAGTTCCCAAACAGTCAGCTTTCTTTATCTTAATCATCTGTGGCCAGTGTAAAAGACAGGCCTGACAGGGAAATTTAAGGAGCCATCCGGGTAACGCCATATGAGGGAATTCTTGGCTACATTCAAAAAACTCAGATTTCCACTTTCAAAATCCAGAAACACACCAACCCGGCCCAGAGGTTTCTCTACATAGTGAGGAAGCATTGGAGAGCTGGTCAAGAGACGGAAATGATGATTCACCTTCACACATAAAAGAAGAAATATGTCCACAGATGTAATCATGGTGCCATTATTCCTTATCTGGGAGTCCTTACAGACACCCAGAGCCCAGTCCCAAGAGTCGTCCACATCCAGCTCCCAATAGTGTTTCCCAGAGGAGAAGCCCTGGGCTCCCCATGCAGCAAAATAGTCAGGTCTGTCAGAATTCACAGATCCACCTTCCCGTTCAGGTCTAAACATCCAACTTCTCACATCCTCAAACAGGCTGATATTGTGATTGCTTACTTCATAATTGAAGGAAATTTCCACTGTAGAAAAAAGAGAATGTTCCAGCGAAAAGCAGCTTCTACATTCTTAGGTTCAGATAAGAAAGAGACTCTCACTAGAAACCACAGGTCAAGATTAAAAGGCAACTTTTGTCTGGAAAAATGTTGGAATCAGAGGGTGTTAGGATATCTGCATAAGTACATGGCTAAACTACAAGGACCACAATTTCTATAAACTCAAAAATATAAGGGGAGGATTGTCATGCCTAAGTCTAGTCAGCTACTTCTTATAACAACGGAAAAACTGGAAGCTCTTGCACTGCATCCAAGTCCATGGCAATAAAATATATGTGCATTTCCTCTTCCCTGTCAGGGAAGAGCAGGAGGCTGGGGACAGGAGACGAGGTGGGGAGCCATTCTTACACCTAAATAAATTATCACTTTGCCAGAAATATGATCTGCCACTTAAGTAAGCAAATTCATACTTAAAGAGAAAATCTGAATCCATCTTCTGGAAAGTGCAGATTCCTTGCAGGAATTATCTGACTTTCATGCTGGATTTCAGCACAGACTTCTTTTATCTGCCTGATTGATCATGATCTGTCCTGGAGTTCTATCTAAGGGCTCATCAACCACCAAATCACTTTCCTATTGTTTGCAGATTCTCAGATTTGCATTGTTATTTAAGTTACTCATGGGTGTTTTGGTTGATTAAAATGCACATGATTAAAATTACAAATGCTATGAAACTTCACCTGAAGTTTACTTAAAAAAAAAAAAAAACACTGTCACCAAATCACAATCATTAACAGCACTTAATTTGAAGTTGAAATGTCCTGAATTAACTCAGTTCTGTATACCTCATGTAATACTTGTATACATGAAATTTTGTCAGAGAATGTTTCTAAGTCCTAAGGAGCCATTCTGCATGTTTTATGTTTTTCTAAGTAATATGTTATATGGCTGATTCTTATTACATTTTACCAGCTTTTAGTTTAGTCTGTTTGATGATAGTGAAACTATAAATATAAAGACTTATTCACAAACTAGTTTCTTCCAGATGAAATATCATTACACTAGGAAAACTGCCCATAGAAACCATACTTGAAGACATTACATATTGATCCCAGCAAGACGGCGACACTCACCTCGGAAGCGGTTGAGCCTGTGCACCAGTCCAGTGATGGGCCCTGCAGTTAACTCTGGATTCACAGGCTGGGGCATGTGCAGCAGCACGGACTCGCTCCTGCAAGGAAGCAGGTGCAGTTGGTTAACCTTTCTGGTGTCTGTGTTTAAGAAATAGATTCCAACAGGAAATCCTTCATTCAAACCCACTTCTGATATTGTCATGTAACTCCACAATCCTAGGATGGGTTTATGGCTCTCTTAGGGAATCTTTCTAAGGATTCACTCCATTTCTAACCTACTACCACTGAAAGATAATTGCCTCTCTCTCTATCTGCCACCAAATAGTTTGTTTCTAATTATGATTCTGAATCTTAAAATTAGGCAACTATATCCTAGTAACTTCTGCATTGAACTCTTCAAAACATTACCCCCTGAGTCACTTGGGAAAGTAAGAAAAGATTAAAATCTGATACAGGGCATAAGAAAACATATTCAACATAACACACGAACACCTGAGTACACACACATACACACACAATCACACTGACACATTATGTTAACAAATTATGTTTTCACTTTGTTGAAAACAGCTTGATGTTTTTCATAGCACACCTTGTGCTTCGGCCTGCAATGATGACCAAAAACATACCTTGCCATGATGTCTCCCAAATCCTGTAAAGAGAGAGAGAAAAAAGATACTTCTTTAGAAAGTTGTTATTCTGGCTGGGTGTAGTGGCTCATATCTGTATTTCCAACGCTTTGGGAGGCCAAGGTGAATGGATCACCTGAGGACAGGAGATCCTGACTAGCCTGGCCAACATGGCAAAACCTCATCTCTGATAAAAATACAAAAAAAGTAACTGGGTGTCATGGTGCATGCCTGTAGTCCCAGCTACTGGGGAGGGTGTGGCAGGAGAATTGCTTGAACACAGGAGGTAGAGGTTGCAGTGAGTTGAGATTAGGCCACTGCACTCAGACTGGGTGACAGAACAACACTCTGTCTCAAAAGAAGGAAGCAAATGAACACACAAGTTGTTAGATTCTACCTGTCTAGTCTTTAGGTTTTGAAAACTTTCGAAGTACTACGTACTATCACTGCAGGTCTTTTAAAATGTATTCTCATTTCTCACATTAATACCAGTAAGACCAATTGACAGAATCTGTTTCTGATAAATTCAGGACCCTGGATCTGAGTGAGAGAGAAAGGTTGAGTAGTGACTGTGCATTGCTGCAGCTGTCTACAATGTGGTCTTTTTCAGGGCTAGTTCCTGAGGGGTAATGTGGCTCAAGTCAAGGGCATTTCAAACCTAGGACTGCCCAAAAAAAGGAAGAAGGAAATGTTAGTTTCTTCATAATTTCTATGTATCATCCAACATAGATAAAAATATTATTTTCACATGAATGTTTTCTCTTCCAGAGTTTTAATGAAATGAACTGGAGAAGAAAGCTTGAGGTGGAAAATGTTCTGTGGAAATCTATCTGCACAGCTCCCTAAAGCTTTGTTTCTATGATTAGGTTAGGAGTTGTAGTTTATCTCTATAACTAGGTGGGAATGTCTATCACCATCAATGCAGGAGATGAAGTATGTCTTTGGTACCCAATGAAAAGCAAAGATGTAAATGTCAGCTAATACGAAGTGTCTCAAGGGACATCCTCAGTTCTTACCTGGAGCAGCTCCACATCTGGTTTATGACACATTTCCATTAGTTCCCGATACATTTCTTTCAAGTGCTTCTTCTTTTGATGCATGTTGATGCAACTTCTCTGGAGTTGTGGAAATATCTCTTCGTGTTCCTTGCCCAGTCTCTCTAAATGTTGTTTTTCTTCCTTATGGAGAACTGGATGCACCTTCATATACTCAACCCTGATCATCTGTGCACGAAGAAGGGCATAGGCCTGGAGAGACATGGATTTTGTAGGTTACATACCCAGGTCGACTTCCACCTCACAGAACCCACTAATTCATCCTGACCTTTCCTTCGTTTAATTTTCATTCTTTACAAACACTAGGATAAGTTAAAAAGATCTTCCTTAGGGGAGACCAGGATGGTTGAAAGGAAGCTTCTCTAGAGTGCAGCTCCCACTGAGTGAGACACAGAACCAGAGCGATATCCACAGTCCACCCATCTGACAAAGGGCTAATACCCAGAATCTACAAAGAACTAAAACAGATTTACAGGAAAAAAACCAACAAACCCATCCAACAGTGGGCAAAGGATATGAACAGATACATTTCAAAAGAAGATATATGTGAGGCCAAGAAACATGAAAAATGCTCATCATCACTGGGCATTAGAGAAATGCAAACCAAAACCACATTGAGATACCACCTCACATCAGTTAGAATGGCGATCATTAAAAAATCAGGAGACAACAGATGCTGGAGAGGATGTGGAGAAATAGGAATGCTTTTACACTGTTGATGGGAGTGTAAATTAGTTCAACCATTGTGGAAGACAGTGTGGCAATTCCTCAAGGATCTAGAAATAGAAATTCCACTTGACCCAGCAATCTCATTACTCGGTGTATACCTAAAGGACTAGAAATCATTCTATTATAAAGACACATGCACACATGTGTTCATTGCAGCCCTGTGTACAATAGCAAAGACCTGAAACCAACCCAAATGCCCATTGATGATAGAATGGACAAAGAAAATGTAGCACATATACACCATGGAATACTATGCAGCTATAAAAAATGATGAGTTTGTGTCCTTTGTTGGGACATGGATGAACCTGGAAACCATCATTCTCAAAAAACTGACACAAGAACAGAAAATCAAACACCACATGTTCTCACTCATAGGTGGATGTTGAACAATGAGAACATTTGGACACAGAGATGGGAGCATCACACACTGAGGTCCATTGTGGGTGCTGAGGGGAATAGTGGGAGGGAAGGTAGGAGGGATAACGTGGGGAGAAATGTCAGTTATAGGTGATGGGGGGATGGGGGCAACAAACCACCTTGCCATGAATGTACCTATGCAACAATCTTCCATGACCTGCACATGTACCCCAGAACCTAAAAAAAGACCTTCCTTCAAAATGTTTATAATTCATCAATTCTTGAACACCTGCATAAAAGCCCTTTAGATTTAAATGTTTAAATATATGTCCTCTCAAATCTGAAATACCACTAGAAAACAAGTAAAATTTATCATTGATTGTTAAATCATCATCAACAATATATATATTTGTTACTCAATTAGTCTGTAGTCTCAAATCTTTGTACTTCACAGCCTAAACAGTCATTCTTAGTAAATGTTGTCAGTATATTCTAATCAGGGTCAGAAGCCATCACACAAAAAAGATCTCAATAAACATTGTAGCCCCCATCTCTGAAACTGACCACCTCTGCTCTGTCTCCTCCCTTCTTCTGTCTAAAGCTACAGTCTCGCCTCACCATTCTAAGAACATGAATCCCCATTCCATTGTGTTTCTCCTCCCAATATTGACAAACTGTTCTCTCACTCCCCTCGTCATTTTCGTTTCTTCTCCTCAGCTTTTCATCATGTTACATTTTCTCCTACTCAAACAGGCATCATGGTCTGGGTCCTTTGCTATCAGATTTCACTAGCACAGGCATAGTTCTTAAATTACTGTTTCCACCCACTTTTTTCCCTAGGAGCAACATCATATTTACCGCTAAATGCCTTTATTTCTCATTTATGTATTATTTAATCCGTATTACATAATTCATCTCATACAGAAACCTCTGCCTGAAATACTGATTAATTTTAAGCACATACTGGCCTCTCAGAATTTACATATATATATATATATTTATATATGTAAATATACATATATATATTTACTTATCTGAAAAACATTTCCAGAACACCTGAAAATTGTTATGCTGAACAGTCAGGTTGTTTTCCAGGCTATAAATAAACATATGACAAAATCTGGCATATGAGAATTTCAACTCAAGTGGCTAATATAAATGTTCTCGGCATGCCTGTCTCAAACATGTCCTGAAGACACATGATCTCATACTTACACTCCAGAGCATGCTTGTTTTTTCCTCCTCACTTAGATTTCTCTGATTTTCTTGAATTTTTTCCCATAAAATCCTCATTTGCTTTAAGAGCTTCTCCTGCAAAAGAATTATGAGGGTGAGCAACAGAAAATCAAATACCATAGATTCCATACTCTGAGTGAGATACGCAGGCAAGGGTTAAAATGTATGAACAGACTAGAGAGAGGAAAATAAACCAAGTTTTTTCACTGCTCATCCTCGGTATTTTCAAATCTGAGGTTTCAGATGTATAACAGTTTAGGGAACTGGTGAGTGAAGATTTCTTGTAACCTAGGTAATGATCAGTGAAACACCCTTCCACTATGCTGGCCGCCTGCTTTTGTCATTTGTCCAGTAAGATTAAATACATTTCCAAAATGTATTTTCTTTGTTCTTGTAGTTTTGGTAGCTTTTCGATGCCTTTAGTGTTATACTGTAGAGTCAAAGTAATAGTGACATTCACTTAATCACCCTCTTTTTGGGTGCAGGCTTTGTGAAGGCAGGTATAGTTGCATATTGAATTCAAAATTTCATCATTGGTACCTCCAAAAGCACCTGGCACTCAGTAAAGGATGGAGTGATCACCACAATGGTTCTCATCTCCCTTCTCATCTCTTTAACTCCTCCACCCTCCAGCCTGCAGGTGATCCCAGCACTGTGTCTTACCCGGTGTTCTTCAGCTGCCCCTTCAATGGGACAGTGTTTGTGAGCCCCGTGCTCCTGAGAGTTAGAGCACAGTGAGCAGAGCAGACTCTTGTCCGTGGCACAGAACATCTTCTTTGTTTCCCTATGGATCCCACATAGTTGTGTCTCAGAGCTCAGGAATTGCCAGACACTGGCTTTCCTGGCAATCGTCACTAAATTCTTCAGAAAAATGTTAGTTTTGAAATCCTTTTGGTGTGATGGTTCCCTGCACGCAGGGCAGTTGGCAGGACTTTGGGCTTCTTCCCAGGAAAGGCAGAGGCAGGGTCTACAGAAGCTGTGCCCACAGCCTATGGTGACAGGGTCTACCAGGTAGTTCAGGCAGATGACACAGGTGAGTTCCTTCTGGAAGGCCTGTGGGAAGTCTGAGTCCATTTTCCTGAGGGAAGAAAACCACAAGAATTTAATCTTCTGCCCTGGAGAGACAAAGATCCAAGCAAAGTTTCAATCAGGTTGTGATCAAATAACATCTTTTTTTTTTTTTTCTAGAGAATTGGCTTTCATTTGCAATGACCGAGATAGGACAAATAGAAAACTGAGGCACTAAGAGCCATCAACCTCTGTAGAAAAATGTGATTGTTCTCCAATCAACGCACAACCAGCTTTCCAAACCCAACTCTTTTGCACAGAAGAATGTCAGTTTTTTGAGGTGTTAGTGTCCACCAAGTTGCTTGGGCTTCTAGGATTTAATCAAGCTATCAACTCATGGGGTAGTTACACTCTAAATTGCCAGGGACTGGTTTGGAGAAGGGATGCTAACTAAGCTCTTCTACTCTCATCGTTTGATTTAACTGTAACAAGGATCCCTCAGAGTTGTCCAGAGGGCCCCTGCTTGAAAATAAAGCAGAGGTCATTCTTTGTCCAAAATCAGGCAAAGCTAGCCTTTACACTCCAAGGCAAAACAAACCAAGGTAAAGGTACTTCTCCAAGATAGAACAAACAATCATTTTTTAGGCTGCTGTGTTCATTCAATCAACAAAAACTTTGTGGCATGTTTACTATTCCTGGACTGTCTGTTAGTTTGGGGATATATTGATAAAATATAGAAGGGTATACAGAGGATAGAAATGTTTTCTAAGCCCTTTGGAAGCATTGTCATTACTCTTTCACACAGTCAGAAAAATACTCAGTATCATGCAATAATAAAAGGCACTAGACAGTAAGGTGGTGTTTTAAATGGAAGGGGTGGGGGAAGAAAACGTAGGCCAGGCAAGGTAGCTCAAACTTGTAATCCTAGCATTTTGGGAGACCAAGTCAGGCAGATTTTTTGAGCTCAGGAGTTCTAGACTGGGCGACATGATGGCAAAGTGTCTAGATCAGCCTGTCTCTAAAAACACACACACACAGCCGGGCCTGGTGGTTTATGCCTGTAATCCAAGCACTTTGGAGGCCAAGGCAGGTGGATCACTTGAGGTCGGGAGTTCAAGACCAGCCTGACCAACATGGTGAAACCCCATCTTTAAAAACACACACACACACACACACACACACACACACACACACACACACTATATAGATTATATATGTAAAGCCCAACATGGTGGTCCATGCCTGTAGTCCCATCTACTTTGGGGGATGAGGCTGAAGAATTGCTTGAGGTATTAAGTAGAGCCAGTAGTGAGGATTATTTCCACCACTGCACTCTAGGCTGTGTGTCCCTGTCTAAAACAAACAAAGAGACAAAGAAAGGAAAAATCTAAAATCCTGGTTTCTACACAGTATAAATACAGAAACCCTCTATTTCTGATATTTCTGCATAGTTGCCAGTGAGACTTTCCTGCATGGATAGCCATTTCTGGCTTTCTTCCACAGAGGAACTGAGGTTTCTGAAGAGACTTTTACCGTGTTTTAGAAAAAAATGTTTGCCCAAATCATTCAAAGCACTCTACCTATGTACAGGCATACATTGCAACATAGGCACATTTTCCCTAGTAGAGTAGAATATAACACATTTTTACACATAGATTACAACACTCCTAACCCATTTACAGAGTCTTCAGAGATTAAAGAATTACTAGATATTTGGAAACTACTGCAAAATGATTATAATCTATAAAACAACTAAAAAATACGTTAAGTAAAAAATTAATCATAACATTAATTTGAGGATCATGCAGCAAGACAGATGACAAAAATGTTTAATTTGTAAATAGGTTAAATGGAGCTTGTAAACCTATGGGTTATGTTTAAAATAATTTAAAAAAAGAAATGGAGCTGTTTTTAAAACTCAGAAAATGACATCATTTCATCTAAAAAAAAAATCTAAGTTTGCAGATAAAGTCCCCAAATTTTGTTTGTTTTGGTTTGTAACCTAATAGCAGCTCCTACTCTGGAAAGTGTACACTTACCTCAGAAATAGATCTACGTTCTCACCAAAGCTTGCTGTCCAAAAAGATGAAGTCAGCTCAGGGATCAGGGTCTCACGGCGCAGTGGCGGTAGCTTTTGGAAGTCTCCAAGGCCAGTTGCAAAGCCACTCTGTGGGTGCTGGAGAAGAATGAGCTTGGCTCCTGCGGTGTCCTTTTATACGTCTCTGAAGACCACACCCCTTTCCTCTAATTGGATTTCAGAGGGCGTAGGTGGGTGTTAACACAGTTGATTAAGTTTCTTCAAAACAAAAGGTTTTTTTTTTTTTTTTTTTTCTTAATGACGTTTCGCTGTGTCGCCCAGGCTGGAGTGCCGCGAAGCTATCGCAGTTCACTGAAACCTCCGCCTCTGAAGTTCAAGCAATTCTCCTGCCTCAGCCTCCCAAGTAGCTGGGATTACAGGTGCCCGCTGCCAGGCCTGGCTAACTTTTTTTTTTTTGCATTTTTAGTAGGAGGGGGTTTCACTATGTTGGCTAGATTTATCTGGAATTCCTGACCTCAAGTGATCTGCCTGCCTTGGACTACAAAAGTGCTGGAATTGCAGCCTGAGCCACAGCCCCCAGCAATTCACTTTTATGGTAATGTAAGAATTTAATCTAAGGCTACTCCTGGCCTCCCGACTCCAGAAGGAATATTTCTCCTTCTCCTTGTGCTACAGATGAAGCCTTCCAAGGGCCTCTCAGCAGCCGTGGGACATACGATTCCCTCCTATATTACCTGGCTCTGCTCATCCCAGCTCAAGGGGTATAGGGAGAAAGTCTAGAAAGCTCTAGCCAGGTGCAGTGGCAGGCACCTGTAGTCCCAGCTACTATGGAGGCTGAGGCGGAAGAATCGCTTGTGCCTGGGAGGCGGAGGTCGCAGGGAGCCGAGATCATGCCACTGCAATGATATAGTGAGATTCTGTCTCCAAAACACATAAATCAATAAATAAATATAAAAAAATTGATGATTAGGAATACAATATACTAAGATATTTATGACAAAATATAAAGTAAGCAGAAAGCATATAAAATTGTAAATAGAATTTGGTTACTTTAACAAATATAGAAAAAATTAAAGGGATTTAATCAATTAGTATAATAATTGTGTTATCTTTAGGGAAATATTGGGAGAACTGTTTCCTTATTGTTTATAATTTTTTCCAACTTTTTTTTGTGGGTAAGAAGTCAATAATGAGAATAACACTTTCAGTAGATTTCAAACACGGTGTATTCCATGAAGCTGATTTTCTAACTTGAAAAGAAAAATGATGATGTCCCTCCTTGACAAAATGCCTCATCATTAGAAACATGGTTTGTTTAGGACACATAGCTTTTTCTTCCTTATTTCTATATTTGTTTCATTTTCTCCAAATAATAGTAAAGATCTAGTTTGTGTCTCTATTTGATGTTTACAATTCCTGAAACAACTGAGCAGTGCATTGCACATAATAATTTCTCACTAAGTAAATTAAGCTGAATGTTGAATTTCCATCCAAACCTTTGAAACCAAAGGAAGAACTGTGTCTTCATCCTTCTTTTCTTGTATCATTTCTTTCCCCTGTAACAAAGGATACAGCGTGTTAACACAAGATACAGAGAAAGAGAATGTGTGTGTGTGTGTGTGTGTGTGTGTGTGTTTATATGTGTACATGCTTTACATATGGTAACCACATCAATTTTTGTATTTGTAGCAATGCCTTGTAATTTTGATTCAGAAGCCCATAGCATTTTATTAAAATTATGTTTCATTTGATTGTCTCATCTGTTTATGGGAGCTGCTAACAGGGATTCTGTGTTTCATTTACCATATACTATTACAAAATGTGAGTTCATGATACTAAATTCATAAATATTGAACATAGCCAAAATTCAAATTATGGGGGTTTTAGTTATTTATATTTTTCCTTTGTCAACAGGGTACAACTGAAATAACAATATGGACCTCCTATTTCATTCTAAAACTAGTACTGATTTAGGCAAGTTACTTAACTCCTGATCTTTTTTTATCTCAGCGACGAAATGGGGCTTCTGCCCTGCCCAACTTGCAGAATTGCTCTGAAGATTAAAAATCACATATTGTGTAAATATTCAATACAGTAATTGGCTCATAGAAAATGATCAGCCAGTTGTAAATGCTAACTGTTAGTAAAACTAAATTACAAAATGAAAGTGCTAAATTAATGAATAACATAATTAATCCTTTCTTAATGGAATGATTGCTTCTCATTGGTTAATTAAGTTGTGACGGAATTGGTATGTTGAATTCAGTGACTCAGAGTTCATCTACTCAGGGCATGTTGACACACTTTCAGTTATGCTGAATCACTCTTATGGCAATAGCAACCCCATCACTCCTTTTGGAATGTGAGTTCTGTGAAAGTGTTTAAATCATAGCAGGCAGCCAAATATTGTAGAAAGACTGAAATAAATGCTGTGTTGCGTGTTCCTAACAGGTTTAGCTTTAAAAATAAGAATATTATTAGTTAACATTTGGTAAATACTTACAATTTGTCAGGCATCTTACTAAACATTAGTAGGTTATCTTATTTTAATATTGATATTACTTCTGTGAGTAGATTACTAGGACACCTAGGTGAAGAAAGTCTTGTCAGTATTTGCATATCTGGGGTTATCAGTTATTTATTATTCTGGCATAAATAATAATCACTATCATTTTTCCCATTGGCATATGCAGCTGTTTCTGTGCTTTTAAAAGCCTCAGCACAAGTAGTTTCATAAGACTTAAAAATATGGTACCTATGTATGCTATCGTTCTTAATTTGCCTATAATAGGATGTTAAAATATACATTTAATGCTTGAAAAATAGTGACTTGAATTGTACAGGTCTACTTAAGCACATTATTTATTAAAAATAAATACAGTCAGCCCTTTCTATCTGTATATTTTGCATCAGCAAGTAAGGGTGGATAGAAAATATAGTATTATTCACTGTAATCCCAGGTACTTAGGAAATCGAGAAAGGAGGATTGCTTGAGCCCAGGAGTTTGAGGCTGTAGTGAGGTGTGAGCAAGCCTGCTGCAATCCAGCCTGGTGAGAGATCTATCTCTTAAGAAAACAAAATACAATACAGTATTGAAAGCAAGGAACCACATATGTGAATGGCCAACATTTTACTTTTAAAGATGGTGAACTATAACTTGCCAAATTATTTTTTTGTTTTCAAACTTATATTTTTAAATATTAGTATTGCATACAGAAAATGATTTTGCTAAAAATATCACAAAGTAGAAAAGACACAAATCCAGTAAAAAGGCTCTAAAGTGAGTGACTTTATTTCTGTGGAACAAATCTCAACAGTTATTTTTCATTTAGCTTTGTTATGTTACAACTTTCATCACAGAATGATACTCAGGACATGAGCCTGAATCTGAGAAGCTCAGATGTAGCTAATAAAGAACTAACAAAAAATATAAGGTAAGAGAATTATGAATGTGTTTCTAAAAACAAAAAAAAAAAAAACAGAACTGATACATTCCATTTGGACTCTTAGACATGATTTTTGGAATTATTTTCTGTTTTATCTTATTGCCTACTTCACTGTCTTAACAATGTGAAGATCAGGATGTCAAAGGGCATGAAGCATGTGGTGAGAGTTATATTATGCTAGTTAGCCCAAGGGGACTAGACGTGGCTTCAGATTCCACATACTCAGCTACATTTCCTCACTGAGGCACGGGAAGGTGATCCAGAACATCTTATCTGGCTCTGTGAATGCTGTACTTAAATTATTCTGAAAATCACTCGAAAAGATGAAATATTAAATAATTTTCACTACCATCTGGATTATTATACTGATATATCAATTTGATTTGTTGAGTGGTTTGTTCACCGTCAGCCTGTTAATTCCACAGAAGAGGGACAACTTTTTATATATGCATGTCTTTTCTGCAGGACTTGAGTATGCACAAATTTCGATATTTATCCAGGTCCTGGACCCAATCCCCATAGATGACTGATTAAAATCAGTTTTGCTCTGAAATTTTATTTTGTGTATGGAAATACATTTTCATGAAACTAAAACTATATTCGTTTTATTTTGCTTTCCAATATTTTTGAGAATGATTAATGATCACCTGATGTTTCTGTAATGAGCATTTATGATCTTTAGGGTTACCAGATAGACTTTTTTATAGGTAGGAAAAGAAAAAATGACTCCCTCTTATAATATCAATTTTCCTCTGTGTGATATTGAAACCCAAAAGTGGCTCTTTGCAAAAAACTAAGGAGAAGTGAAGAGAAAGGACTGCTGTTGCAGCCGCACAGTGCAGCACGCGCAGAAGGCTTGAAAGAAGCAGCCTGAGAGGGTTCTTTAGAGAATCCCATAGAGACTTGTGGTATATCATCAGAAAGGACTTATGAGGGGTATATATGGTGAGTTTAAGTAGTCTATTAGAATAAAGATAGACATTATATAGTCATGTGAAGTGTCATATATTTATCTGTGTATATATTTTTCTTTTATTTCCTTGTTATGGACTAAAAATAAAAAATAATAATTAGGCAAAAAAAATAATAATTATTCTGAAATGGAAGAATCAAACTCAGTAAAACATCCAAGGGGAATGGGTAAATATGGTAAAACTCTCATCTGGCATTATCAGGGAATCAAGTCTAATCTGTTCATGTCACTTCACACATAGGAAAGCATCAGTGTGTCCTAGAGCGCACTGGGGAACATGCACAACTGCTCCAAGGCGGAGGCCTCACGCCCTGCCTGGCCCCCCAGGGCTCAGAGGATCACTAGCTCAGCACATGGTTGAGAAACTAATTAAATTACACTTTTAGTAAATGTAATCACTCTATAGCATAAGAAATAATTTTTTATTAAAAGTATTTTATATAAAACACTATCATATAACACACAAGGTAGAGAAAAATAGTAATGAAGTGAACATTTGTGAACCTACTAGCTATATTAAGAAAATAATATTTTCAATATCTTTGGGTCCCCTATGTATTCACGACAGTTGTGCTTTTTCACTTTCTTGAATTGTTATGTTTATTTCCTGTTATTCTTTATGATTTTATCATACATGGCTATATTATTTACATATTTTATGTTTGTGTTTTATGTAGTTTACTATTTTTTATAAATGCAATCATGCCAT